TCTTTTAAGTTATGAAAATTTATTTACTCTGTAAGCATATAAAAAATTTATATTCAATTTATTTATAAACCGTGTCGTATGTATTTATTTTCTACGAGTTATTTAGCCGTTATTACCAAACAAACATAAATAGCACATCTTTGACCTTAATTAATTTTAGTAGGTAAATATAATTTTATAAATCGTATTATCATGCTGCTGGGAATTTTTCATAAAAAATTCTCGAACTGTATAAAATTTTAAAAAAACTACAATTTAAATACATTTTTGTAAAACTCTATTAAAATTTCATTAGAAGTAATAAATAAATTTCTTTTCTGCACATATAAATTACCTTTATGTATTATAAGGTAATGTTATATAATAAATAACATTTTTATTAAATGTTCACATTATTTGACTTAATTTTGTAATTTTACAAGGTAATTTAAAAGCAAAACAAAAAAATATGAAAACCTGCAGTTCCCATTACAAAAGTATACAGGATTTACTTTTATTTTAAAAATTTTGTAAAAAAAATAAAAATAACCCTGATGAATAAAATATAAGTAATAATTTATTTTATAAAATTGCATGACTTTAAATTTTTTTCTCAGTTTATTCTGAACTGTAATAATAAATGGTTATGGGATTTATTAAAAAAAAACGAAAATATTTAAAATTCTTTAAATTTGCTTTTTATTTCTTAAAACTAAAATTAATTACGTTCTTCACGTTATATTCGCTAATAAATAAACTTTATGAATGTTTGAAAAAGATTTCATCAAGATAGACGATCATTTTAATTAGGTTTATTATTTGGTATAGGAAAATGAAAACGTCATTAAATGCAATGAACAGTTGCACGCATAATATAAATAAGTTATAATGTTGTAACCATAAAAAACAAACGACCTATAACAAATTCATGCATTTCAAGTTCCTAAATATTATTGTTTAAAGTCGTTCAAAAAGTTCAATATTATAGTCAGAAACAAGTAACTTTAATAACTGAAACTGTTATAACAATGTGAAAACAATAACACATGTTATTGTTTGGTTTAACATAATACAAAAGCAAAAAAAAATCTGATGCGATCTGCACGTAACCGACCGCAATGTGTATTGTTTATTTCAGAAGATTATGAAAATGCATTTTACATACTCCTTTACAATTTTAAGGACACTAATAATCTTTTAGTTGTTAGAAAAGTTCGTCAGCTCAAATATTCAATTTCAAGAAATTCCATCAATCCATTCCGTAGATATGTTAAAAAATGTAAAATCGGCCCTCAGATCAGATTCCGAGCCGTGCTCTTTCTAAAAAATTTATAGATTCATATTTAACACCTCGAATTTAAATATTAAATTTCAATGAAAGCGGTTGATTATTTTTGGTTGTATACACAAAAATGTATATTTGGGCGGTAGTAAACGTCCAGTTGCTAGCGCCTGGATTCTTTCAAAAGGTGGGAAGTTTCACGAACGGTCGAATGAAGCTTATATATGAAATTTCAAGTAAATCTGTTGAATATTTTCCTCAAAATGATCAAATATGTAAAACATGGCATATGTAAATTTCATTAAAATGGGTTTAGCCGAACTTGAGATGCACGCGTGCACACACAGACCGACAGACCAATAGGTTACTAAAAATAGTTTACTTAAACTTCCCTGCTATTTAGAATTGCGTTCCCAACCAAAACTCTATATGCAAAATTTGTTGCCATCACACAACGTACCTTATTGTATACACAAGGCGGTTAATAATAAATTGTTAACAATTAATCAAGGGTTAACATGGAATAGCTAGAGCTAGTATAATATGTAACAGAGTTTGATCAAACAAATGCTTTGCAATGTAACACTTTACCCTTCAACAAGTAAAAGTACTGCTTTTAAACCAAACTATGCACTACAATATTAAAATCATTAATATATATATATCATTAATATATATATTACGAATATATTTCAAAAAATGCATACATTTAGGATGAGCAACGTATGCAATTTTTGAAACATGTAAAGCAAAAAAAAATTTAATTAAACGGTAATATAATTCTTAAAGTTCAGGGTTAATTGCGTGAGTTTAAAAAAAATATTTTTAAATGGTACGGCATTTATCGCTAGTCTCTGCATTTATAAAAAATTGAAAAAGTTTGCATTTTCGGAAATATAAGGCGCCGAAAATTCTAATTTTTAAAATTTTGTGTGGTGATAACTTGAGAGAGGGAGGAGGTGGAAAAAAATTTTATACTAACAAAATGGACTATTTATTAGTATCTAAAAGCTGTTAATAAGTAATTTCAGACTCCTACTACCTGCTGTCTAGAAGAAAAACGATATCAAAAATTTTGGAAAAACGGATTTTAGATAAAAGTAAACTAATAGCTACGCCGCGGTAAAAGAAGCCAGCCACTACATTTCTGCATCTGCAAAATCTGAAAATACTTATGGTTTTGTTGCAATAAATACGAGAAAAACAGAATTTTTAGGACTTTGAGGGGTTATAGTTTTTTAAGGGGGATCTTTTAAAGACAGGTAAAAGTTTTCTTTAATGGAAATAATTTTCCAATAAAGATTTATGAATTTACATATAAAATTTCAGTTTTCTATCTTCAAGGGTGTAGAGAGAATAAATTTAGAGAGGGGTTAACGTAATGATCGATGTTAAGGGTTAATTGTGTGAGTTAAGAAAAATAATTAAATTTTTTAAAGGCATGGAATTTACTGTTAGCTTTCTGCGTTTACAGAAATTTGAAAAAGCTTGCGGTTTTGGAATTATAAGGTCCCACAAATTCAAATTTTACAAATTTCGAGGAACGATAACTTGAGAGGAGGCGGAGGTGTGTAAAAATTTTCTTTTAAAGAAATGAACTATTCATTAATTTCTAAAAGCTTCTAAAATTTCCAACTACTACAAGTTGAGGTCTAGAAGAAAAACAACAACATCAAAATTTGAAAAAAAAACGGATTTTAGATAACGGTATATTTTAACGGCCATTTTGTTTTTCTAAAGTTCAAGTGTAGAAGGCCGCGGTAGAAGAAGCCTGCCACTATACTGCTGCGTTTGTAAAATTTGAAAAATGCTTATGATTTCACTGCAACAAATAGTTAAAAAATGGGTTTTAAAAACCCTTTTTATAGTTCATCGGGGTATAACTTTAACAGGAGAGGAAATAAGTAAAAATTTTGTTCTACGGAAATAAGTCTCTATATAAGATATATGAACATACAAAATTTCAGCTTAGTATCTTCAAGGGTAGAAGTTTTGTAACCATGTCTACGAACGGACGGACGGACGGTCGAAGAAAAAATTATTATGCTTTTTTTTTTAAATTTTTTAGAAAAGTGCTAAAAAGTAACATTTGGTGACAACTGGTAAAATTTTATTTTTCATTTCGTATATATCATGTAATTACATGCGGGTTTTATTAGACCTTTTAATGGATAAATTTTATGTGTTGATGCTGCAGCCTCATACGCCACCATCATCGTAGAAGTTTTTTAATCAATTAATATCATATGGCAGTAAAAGAGGGGCAATCTTATGTTTGATACATTCATAGTTACTTCGACCAACATAGTGCCGTTTTTATATATAAAATGCTAGAAAATTACATAAAGATGTTTGGTGAGCTTTCATGCAGAAGAATAGGAATTTAAAACACCAAACCTGTTCTATTTTGAGAAATCGAGAAGGAAAAAAAAAATTCAATAAAAATATTAAAATGTCAAATTTTACTAAAAATAATAAAAAATTAAATTAACCAGCTATTCTGAAAATAGCTATATACAGTGAAATTAAAAAGTCAATATTCCAAACTTAAATGCAAAATAAAATAAATAAAAATTTTGACTCATCATAACTTTTAAGCGAACTTTGTTATTCGAGCTTAACACACTTAAATTGATAAAATTTAAAATTTTACTATTTTTATTGTGTTATTATAACATTAAAATATTGTAATATCACAATAAAAATAATGAAATTTATGATATGGAAATATTTTTTCAATAATGTTTATTAGTGAAGGACTGATTGAAGGAGAATAGCAGAAAACAAATCATTACATTTGATTACAATAATCTCAATTTGCGTATTAATTACATTTGATTCTGCCAGATGTACTGGCGCTTTGCGCTGAAAATCTTAAATGATCAAGATATATGTCCAGAGTTCTGTTGTTTCAAACTCTTATTAATAAATTTTCATAATTTTTATAATATGCAATAAAAATTATCAAAACTGACCCCGTATAAAATCTTACATAATTATATATTAACGAAAATGTTTCTTTATTTAAAGAAGCTTATATAAGAAGACCAGTTATTTAAAGAAGGTTTATATAGACTTTTGACGAAAATATTTAAATTAATGACGAGATGATGTATAATTATTTTTGAGAAGTACTACGAAAATTAAAGGCAATATCAGAAAAGGTTTAATATCAATTGTGGTTCATTTGAAAGTTTTTTTTTGCAAAAATTATCAATATGTCTAATGGGTAACAGTTACAATATTTTGCGCATTGAAAAATAGTTAAAAATTAGTTAGTATTCAACTGAAAAATTGAAGTATTCAGCATTGAAAATTTTTCAAAAGCTTGTCAACATACGTGATGAAGGATTCACACAAGAGGGTCACTAAATTTTTTATATTCATAAATATTTTCAAGTGTTGTTTCTGTTTTGCGTATTTCAATATGGCACATACTTATTAATTTACAAAGCATAAAAATAATGCATGCATATATATATTTAATCTAAGTGAGTGTATAAGGAAATTCACAATTCATTTAAATGGAAAAATTCTAAGCGAGTGAATTAAGGTTAATAGAAGTATAATAAGTTCACACAGAATAACTAACACTCAATATTGCCAATGTCGGATTTAAGAGGTTCTTAATTGATCAGATTTATGATTTACTCTCGATAGTTAATTAAATTTTCTTTAAATTAATAACAAAATTATTTAAATTATATTAATAATGTTTAATAAGTAATTGAAAATTAACCATCATTTACAAATTTTAATTGAATTGTTGAACTCTTCTTAATAAACTATATAGTTGAATATTTGTTGGGAGTTTTATTTGTTGGAAATAAATTCTTCCAACCCTTACGGAATTTTGTATTTTATTCTTTAATTTTATAGTTCTGATGGAAAGAAATCATTGATAACTGTAATTTTTTTTATAACTTAATTTTACATTTTTGTTTTTCTTTTTTTTTTTTAATTTTTAATTCAGCTACACTTTTGTATTTAAACACTAATTGTAATAATTACAATAATTTTTTTAATCAAGTTTTATTTGGAATTTCTTTCATTTCTTTATCTTTAATAAATTACCAATTTAAAATAAATAAAGAATTTTTATATTTTTTCCTTTTGATAATAATTTTACACTGAAATTTTCTTTTTTATTCGAATATTTGTTAATAATTATATAATTGAGTAAATTTTTTATTTCATTAAAATATTCAATAATTTTATTTCATTTTTAATTTAAATTAACATTGAAAATTTTGTTTCTTTGTGCAAATTTATTTACAAAATATTTAATATTAATTTTTTTTATGTTAATTTTACTATATTGTTTTTAATATATTTAAATTTGGTTTATCTATTAATAATGTTTTGTATTTTCAATTTTTATTTTAGTTACTTATAATATCGTTCTTTTTTTTTACTTTGGTTAACCTATGTGTATATTATAATTTTTAGAGAAAATTTTATTTTATAATTTGTTTTAAAATTTAATTTAATTATTAAATTTTGAATATTTTAATTTATTGAAATATTCAAAAATTTCAAATAAAAAAAAACACCTATATAATTTTTGAATTTATTTATTTTAGATTATAATTTTGTTTTGCATGTGTTTCTGTTTTTAATTTATTTCATTTAAAATTTTTACGTTTATTATTTTTAATTGAATAACTACTTGTATCAATATACATATATATGTAAGAATTATATAAATTGTATTAATTATAACTAATTATTTTCTGTTATATTAGTAATATATATCATATTTTTTTTAGTATAAATTTATGCATATTGTTTGTGTATTTACATTGATTAGCGCCTAATTGTTATGCAATACTAAATAAGATTTTTTTAAGTTTTTTAGTAACATTACTATAGAAATTTTCAGATTATTTATTTAGTTTTACTTATTTACACGTAATAACAGTATAGTTTGTACGAATATATATATATTACATATTGTATATATGTATATATATGAATATAACTATGTATCTATAGCTATATATATATAAATTTTAATTGCTTTCGTTTTATTGATAATTTTTAAATTTTAAATCACTAGTTTTTTTGTTATGTGTTTTTCTATATATTATATTTAAATAATAAATTTGTTTTAAATATTTAACATATTTTTGCAAAATAAATTTGAAACAAAAGTATAAAGGAGTATAAATTAACAGTTCTTTTTAATACTTTAATATTTTTATAATTTAAAAGTACCTCTACTTAATTTTGAATTTTTTCTTCTCTAAATATTAAATTTAATTTTACAACATACTTAATTATGTATATTATATTAGTTAAAATATAAATAAAAATATTTTTATGTAAATAATTGGATTTTTATTACATACTATTCTTTATAGGTATGTATGCGTATTTATACTATAAATATAACTACGTTTCCTTTTTTTTTTTCTTTTATTATTAATTTTTTTTTATCCTTAATTCACAATGAAACTACATACATACAATTTATATATATTATTGTTCTCCTTTATTTCCCAAATAAAAGTATTTATTATGTATACCTATTTATATATATATGTAGGTATGTATGTGATTTTGCATTTAATTCTACATATAATTAATAGTTAATATACCTTTTGCTTTTTTTATACTAATTACTTAATATTTATGTATTTATTTTTGATTATTAAATTTTTGTTTGAAATTAAAAAAAAAAATATTTTTTATTACACAAATTATTTAATTTTCTAATTATATTCAAAATTTTCCTTATATTTTTTTAATTATGTTTAACAAAATAAATCTTTCCTTCCTTTTTATATTTTATATATTTTTTGCTTTCTTTCTATGGTTACAAAAAGATTAATTTGTGCGGAATAACTGCGACAATAAGAGCGAAATAAAGGATATTAAAAGCTCTAAAGAGCTGGACACCAACTAAACTTTTCCACAGGACGACAAAAGTATAAAAGTTAAAAATGTAAAAAAAATTTGACAAGAAAATAAAATATTTCTATGTATAATTTTTATCCTTTCTCAAAATATAATAAAAAGTAATATGAAAATAAAAAAAATTATGAAATCAGAAAAAACATACATACTATCTGTCAAAAATTTTATTTTCGAATAAAAGCATTTCGAATTCTCGATATTACATATATTATATATGTGTATGTATATAGAATCATATAGTTCTTCTTCCTGTTGCAAATATGTATATATACACTCACATTTTTATATACAAATAAATTTAAAAAACGTAAAAGAAAAAGGATTTTTATGCCCCGGTAATCGTTTATCACATGTATTTTTAATGTTTTTCTAGCATGTTCGAAAATTTCGAAATTTAAAAATACAATATTTTAGTTTTTTTCACTTAAAATAATTTTGAAGGAAACTTTTTTCTCTATTAAGAACAAACTGAAATATATTTAATAAATTAATAAATATATTTTTACTAATATTTTTTTATTTTATTTTTTTATTAATGAGCAATTTAATAAATATAAAAATAATACCAAAAAAAAAAAAATAACTACTTTTTTCTTTTTAATTCACAAAATCGAAATTTATATCAAAATTTATTTTTTTTTTCGGTTCTTGTGAAATGTACCAGAGACCCGGCATTTATTTCTGGTATCCTTGAAATTTTTTTGGTGCTTTTAACTGTGAAAAATATTTAATTTCACAGTTTTTTCAGAGTAAAAACTCGTTCACGATTTTCGAACTTACAACCACAATGAAAATGCGCATTTAATAACTCATACATATGCACATTATGTCAAGATTTACACATGCAAATCCTACATATAATTTGTGTTCAGCTCTTTTTATTCAAACGTGCTCTACGCACTCTCTCTGTTTATCCCTCGACTTTTTTAACTCTCTCTTTCTCTTTGTTTTTTCCTTCTCTCACGCTTAATTGCTCTCAAAAATTTATTGATTTTAGAAAACGATATGCAAAAGGAAATTTTATTAATTTTTCATATTTAAAAGCTTATTGTTGAAAGTTTATATGTAACACATGCCTTATAATATTCCTTACAATATAGCACATAAATTAACATTTTTTTCTTTTTATTTTTCAAATACACTTATACATTAAATTTTTTTGAATTACCCAGTAATTAATATAGGTCCTTTCGGTACAAACTTGTTCTTGGTACTTTAAAATAAATGTGCAAAATAAGAACGAAAAAAATACGAAAATGGAAAAACTTATTTTCTTTTCTTTTGTTTTTTTTTTGCATACATTTTTCTCCGTATGTCAGTCTTAAAGTAAAAAAGTATTATTATTTGGGGTAAATGTTTAATACGTCATTTAGATACTGTAAAGCGAAAACCATATTAAACCAAAAAAAAAACAGCCGAAGAAACTTGAGAATAAAATAAACAGAAAGTTCTAGTTTAATTTTTGAACTACATTTTGGTTTTTGTTAAACCAGTGCAGTAGTGCACATGTAGGACAAAACATTACATTTATTCTAGTTTTTCAAAGAATATTTTCAAAGCAAAGTTTATTGCTAAATATACCAAAGAGTTTGGTTTTTATTTTATAACTTTTTGAAATTTCAACTTTGTTTTTTTTTCCCGAAAACAGTAATTATATAAAAAAAATTAAATTTCATGTTTTTTTATTTATTTTGCATAATATATACAATTTAATTTTGACTTCGAGTTACATTCTTCAAACATATAGACATTTAGTCTTTACAGCTATAATATTATGTTTGAAGTTTATTTTTAATATTTTTTTATGTAAAAATATTTTGAGAAGGGAAAATTGGTGCTTAAAAACCCTGTGAAAAATTATACTAAAAACCCAAAAACTAATCCTAAACTGCTTACTTAAACTAATCTTAGAAGTCGAATAGTGCATTGGTAAATTAAAAATCATTTTCTACAATTTATTCTGTGATCTCTGAAGTTTTGACGAGAAACTATTGGCACAATCAGACCACACAGGAGCTGCATATAATAAAACAGGTTGAAAAACTAATTTCATCAAAATCATTTTATTTGGGTGGAAATTTTATAGAATTTTTTCTATATGGATATATTATTTTTACCTGGGAATATGTTATTAAAAATATACTATTATATTTGTACATGATTTCAATACGTATTCCAAATAGTATTACAATCAATAAATTAGTTTTATAAAAATAATTATAAACACAACAATTATTAGTACTCGTAGGTTTAAATTTTTTCTGCAAAATTTTTCTAGTTAGTTTTGCTTGTTTAAAGAAATTATTGTAAATTGGAAGTTAAGCCTGTATAGATACGGTGCCCTTAAGAAAATATTTACGTATTTAAAATAATGTTTTATAAGTTTTGAAATTTGAATTAAATTTTCAAAACAATTTTATAGCCTTTTATACATTTGCTGAGTACATAGTACATTGCTCAAAATCTTTGCAAAATGTATTTATTGAATAAGAATTGGAATTTATATTAAAAATCTTATCTGAAATGTTAGAAATGGCTACTTAGAATCATATATACAGAAATTTTTTTTCCAAAAATTAATTAAAACGACGAATCCCATATAATGCTGTCACTTTACTCCTACTGTATTTTTATTCCATCGGCTTCAATTAATATTGTAGAAGACAGCAAAGCAATTTCAATTTAAATTTCAGTTTAAGAAAACGCACGTAACAATTTATTCTTAAATTATTTAAAGAAAAATATTAAAATTAAAATCGATTTTTTTTTTTTTTTGAAATTTGCAATTTTATTCTGGTTTTGGGTTTTACTTGCATAATTTTTTTCACTTTAAAAAATGTTAAACATAGTGTAGAACAATGTAACACTTTGTATTTGTATATGAATTTCTAGAACAGAACAATAACA